TTACAAGCGCGTGCCTCCATGTTGTTGGGATATAGCTCAGTTTGAAACAGCCGTTGCAAATCTTTGTGAGAAAGACTAGTGCTTTCCTTGGAAGCTGCTTCAGTAGCACCTTTTGGAGGCTATCCAAACCCGGTGCCTTTTTGTTTCTCAGCCTCCGGATAAGCATCTTTATCTCCTTTGGTTTCGTGTAGGTTGACCAGCCGGAATTCTCACTCTAGCCTTCTCGTATCATGTTTACTGTCTCCTCGACCTCCGCACTGGTGGCTGGATCTCCCTGTAGTTGGTTGTCGTACGCCTTCGCAAAGCTTCTACCGAGTGCATCAGCCTTTGCTTTCCCAGACGTGACTAGTGACCCTTCGATCTTGAATGGTGGATTGTATTTGATACTATTACGAACAAGCTTGGAAATTTTCCAGAACCTTTTTTTTTTCCTTGGTTTGTTTTCCGTCGATCTTGTTTTCCGTGCTGAGCACCAATGCTACCGACGCCAGGAAGGCAGCTCCCATTACCTGGACCCTACCTATCGACCCATCCACTCATGAACCGGGGACCGACGGCTTTACTTCCCTTCCGAAAGAAGGCGTGATCAGAGATGTTATGCCTCAGAATATCCCGGCGGCGCCGACTGGGATTGAACCCAGGCCTGCTGGGTGAGAGGTAATCACGCTTACCACTACACCACCGGCGCCACTTTCAGAACTTTTTACTGCCGTTTGTAAGATCCTGTACCGTTTCGCCAAAAATTTAAAAAACGAAATCTGACATATTCTGTCTGAATTCTACGGTTCAGAGAATCAACAATAATGTGGAGATAGGGGTCGCGTGATCGCATGTACTGTCGTCGCCTTATGTTGCGGAGGCTAAACAACTTGATCTATCAATACTTCCGTAATACTTCCGGTACGGACATTTCTTAAAATTTGCCGTGTGATTCTGTTGGCAATTTGCACACTTCAACTTCTGCCGTAAGTTGATCTCCGTATCCTTGTTAAGCTGTTCTTTCTTGGGTAGAGGGCAAGAGCTCGATGTATGCTTTTTGCCACATTTGCCACAGCGTGTAATCATATTGTAGTGACGACTATACCGTGCCCGAATCTTTGACAACGGTAGCATTGAATCACATCACTTTTCTTTTTAGAGTAATAACGCCACATCAGATTTTTTTTTCATTGTCTTGAGCATACAAATAACAAGAACATGAATGTACACTCATTTTTGGGATCTGACGACTTATTTGCTTGACACCCTACTAGTCTCGTCTGTGTTATAGTATAATATTTATTTAAATGAAAGCGAAATGAAAAAAAATTGTTTCTTCTTCTTATTCTTCTTCTTCTTCTTCTTCTTCGCAAATCTAAAAAAAATATTCTTCAATCCATTAGCATTTTCTTCTTTTTCTTCGCAAATCTAAAAAAAATCTTCAATCCATTAGCTTCGAATTGAGGATCCGTTCCACTTCTTGATAGAAACATGCACTTCTATCGATTGAACGTCGCCTCATTAAGCACCAACCTCTGGATTCTACTGTACACCGTTATCGTAAATTTACTGTGTTATTGAAGGAGATGTTTTTTTTTCGTTCATGGAAAACATCAACCTTGAACTTCTGGAATGAGCCGGATCAGCTACCCTGCAGAAATTCTAGGTTATTGGAGTTTCTCCACAATTTAAATAAATCGTTAACTTACCATTTATATCTACTTACTTAGTAACCCATGGATTAAACATCACAGTTGTTAAGTTTTTGAATGAAAGGAGATTTTTTAAAGTTATTTTATTTTTCGTTATTGAAATAAATGTAAACACCAAGAAACTCAAAGCTCAAAAAACCTCATTCGCCACGCAGAATAACCCTGATTATCGAAATAAAGAAGGATATAAGTAGTCTTACCTTCTTGGTGACGAATGTACCGGCATGGATTCGCATCCGACGATTCGAATCTCATTTTCTTCAAAGTACCGTACCTGGTTCCACTTGCCGATTGTTTTAGCCCATAGAGACTCCTCTTCAGTGAACACGCATTTTTCTCTATTTTTAGCTTCAGTGCCGGGTGGGAAGAAGAAGTTTGATACAAGGGATCCATACAAATACGCTGTTTTAACATCAACGTGTTTAACCATCATAACTTCTTTGCCGCAATCGTCAATAGAACACGAAGCGTAATTTGTTTCGCTACAGGTGCAAAAACTTCGTTGTAGTCTTGTGTGTTGCCTTGTGCTACGAGACGGGCCTTGTACCGAATCATCTTTCCAGTAGCATCACGTTTCTTCTTAAAAATTCACCGGCAACCCACTGACTTTGTACCTGATGGTAGATCAACCTCCTCTCAGGTGTCATTTGTCCTGAGGGACGCAAGTTCTTCGGTAATAGCTGCCATCCATTGCTCGCGCTCCGGTCCACTAACTGCATCGTGATATGACCGAGGCTTTTCAGTCAGCATACCCACCTGGTACCACAGCGGTGGAACTCCTTTAGTGCTTTGATTTGTGCGACGAGCTTCAGCGGTCTTTGTCTCCTCTTGCACCACATCATCACTGTCAGGATCATCCTCAGATTTCTCTTCTTCGTCAAACTCGTTGGCGTCTTCAAATACCTTAAAATTACCATCGACATCGTCATCATCTTGCTCTTGATTCCCATCGTTGTCCAATATATCAACCTTTCGTGGCACGGGCATCTCTTGTAGTTGAGTTTTGAAATTCGTACTCAACATCATTTTGCTGTGGAACAAACATCTTCCAGTTTCAAAAACCGCACATCCCGGCTAATCACGATCTTGTTTGTCTTCAAGTCGATCATCCGGTACTGCATGTGCTGTTGGGAGTACCCTACGAAAATCTACTTCTTCGCTTTTGACACCGCTTGATACAACACAACCAGCTTCGTTAAAGCGCACATCCGCGCCTTTCTTTATCAGACAACTTGCAAATACCTTCTCCTTTAACTGGGCACTTTCGACCATCAGCATCTACCACTTCTTTGGGAGTTTCTGCCTTTCGTTGTTCCATCTCCATGAAGAACTTTCGGTTCGCACAGATATGTCACGACGCGCCAGAGTCCACAATCCATTCTCTTACGAAATTGGTAACTGCAAACGCAAATGTTCCAGCATCCGAGGTTGTCGCTTTGACCTGCGCTGACCTGTGATGCCTTGAATCCTTACGAACATCCGTACTTACTTTGACGTTACAATGCTTCTTTTTGTGGCCAACTTTCTTGCAGTCAGTTCTGTATCCTGTCTTCCACCTTCAACACGTGATCGGATGATCCTTCACGCCCGGGCTTGAGTACTTCATCAATCATATTCTGCTTGACGAGCTCCAGAGTAACGTCATCTTCCTTGCGACAGTCCAATGCAGTTGTGAGGGTACTGAACGACTTCGGTAAGCTTCGTAGTACCATCATCACCTCCAACTCACGGCCAAGATTCGTACCACCTTTAGAGAGTTTCTCGAATAATCGTTCCATCTCATAGAAATGCTGCTCCATGTTTTCGCCGTCTACGTTCCGTTTTTCGCTCGTGATGACGTTGCAGATTCTTCCACGCTTCTTTTGCTGATACTCCTGTGTTTACCAAACGCCAAAGATCTTCTCTCACCAACAGCAATTCAACTGTGAACTTCCAGCTACCATACTTCTCGTTGTTGAGCTTCTCAACTCCGAGCCGATTCATCTTCAATTTCGACCGAACTGCGTCGAAAAAATTTCAGGAAAAATGCTGGAACAATAATGGGCTGTTTATTAACTACGTAGACATTTTTTTGGGATTCTTGCCCCCCCCTCCCTCTGCGTAGACAATTGTCCATACAAAATTTTTAAAATTGGTATGGGCCGTGGATAATTGCCAACCTACTCCCTCCGAAAACTGTATACGTAGTTAATGGACAGCCCCTAACTTATTAGAAGGAATAAGAACGTCTGCTTATAACGGTGATTATAGTTTGTTACTAATAAATATTTTATTTCGTTACAGCTACACAGGGGAAATGGCTCTAATGTTGGCCTATGGATCTAAGATTGGGCCCATCGCAAAAAATCTGCTATTTATCAATTTTATATAGATGAACGCGTCATTAGGATAATAATAATGGATATTTTTGGTCGCTATTGAAAATTAAGTCGATTGCTGAATTTATGTATGGGCCCAAATTAGGGCATTTAGGCCGACATTACATCCATTTCCCCTAGGTTGCTAAAACCCTAAATGCGAGTACTCTGCAACAGTTCTGATGTGACTTTCATGGCGATTGTGAAGAAGATTTCACGGAATATTCCATAATATGTCTATATTAATATGTCAATAGAGCGCTCCAGAACAAATAGCTTAATAATATTGAATTTAATACTCGACCTTCTCTAATTTGCATGAATCTTTGCATAATTGTTTGTTATGGGCTATGCGGCCATTTTGAATTTGGCATTTAGTTTTTTTCTTCGAAATTGCGTGTTCGTTTTTAAGAAGTCGTAGCACGAATAGGCCACTTTTAATCGAACGATAGCCAATTTGTTTTAATAATTTTAAGAAAAAAAAAACCAAGACAGTATAAAAATTTAAATAACGAAAAAAGTTCTTGTTCAATATCTTGATTTTTTTTAAATGCTTATGTTTTAATTTGGAAATATTAAAAACCTTGTAAAATTAAAAAAATTAAAAAATCGTAGTCTTGTCAAATTTTTTTTGAAATATTTGATACAAGTCACGATTGTCACGAATAACCCAAGAGAATTAATGTGACTATAAATTAAAAAAAAAATGATAGTTCGTTTTATATCTGTTTTTTTTCACAGAAAACAACATTTGACACCTTTTAAAGCGTTTTTCGTGTTAAAATTACAAAAGCTTAATTCCAAACCAAAGTTGGATGACATTTTCAAAAAAATCCAGTAAATTTTTCAACAAACTTTGTCGCACTTGGGTTTGGAACTAAGCTTTTGTAATTTTTACACAGTAATTTTGTTCTACATCTTAACAACCCAATTTGTGCAATTCTCGTTACAGGACCTGATCTTGGAGAAGAAAGCCCTCAAAAAAGAAACGAACCGCATGAAGACTCTGAACGTCCACCTGGAGCGTCGTTTGGAAACGCAGGAAAAGCGCCTCAGTGCTGTAAGTTTGGAGTTGACCAAAACGTGGCACCTGGTTGGCAAGATGCAGGTATGTTCAATGCAGATTTCCATGCCATTTCCGATTCAATAACTGTAACCTTCCCCAACAGCGCCAACACCGTCAACTGCACACACAGGAGCAAATCCTACGCTACCACCTGCAACAGAAACGACGTCTGCTGTGCGAGCTGAAGGAAGAGTTGGAGTACTGTCGGCTAAAGTGGAGTGCCGCCCGGCAGAAGAACATCGAGTCCGAAGATCAGTGGAAGATACTGAAGGCAGACTTCGTTGCCCGCAAGAAGCAGGATTCGTTGAACAATTCCGGCGAGAGTGGATACAGTGATGAGCAACCGACGGACGACGAAGACGAGGACTATTTGCGCAAGGGTAAGCCATCGAAGGAACACCTGACCCGGATGGTTAATCTGGAACGGTTCCGAAGTGCTTCGCTGACGAATGTTCTTCAGGTGGCACTGGAGTTGAGAAGGTGTCACAGCGAATCCGATATGAAATCGCTGAATAATGTCGAACGAACCAATCAGTTCTGTAATGAGAAGATTGAAGATTTGCCGATATTTCCGGAGGAGGAGTTGGACTGTTCGGTGAAGAAGAAAGTCAAGAAATCGAAGAAGAAAAAAGCGAAAAAAGGTGGAGCGGAAACAGCGGAGGACATGTTTAGGAGACTGGCTGGGTTAGAACAGGATAGCAATGTGGATGAAGATGAAGATGAAGAGACGGATGATGAGATCAGTGAGGATTCGGAGTGTTCGGAAATTGAAAAAATCGAACAGCGAGAGTCAAGTCCAGTGGAGGAAATGGCGAAGGAGCCGGAGTTGAGCAGTGAGGAACTGTTCAACATGAAACGAGAAGCTCGGTTGAAACGGATGGCTGAGTTGAACTCCAGATTGGACAATTACTCAAATCCGAGTGCTTCGAAAGACTCCGAAAGTGGTGTTAGCGAAGTAGATCAAGTAGACGCAGGTCCGTCCAATGTGTTTACTACCACCGAAGAAGATTATCTACAGAGAAGATCTGCCCGGCTAGAGCGGTTGGAGAGGGAAGCTAGGGAATTCAGAAACAAACTGTCACGAACCGTGAATCGGGGTAGTGAGATTGCTGCTCAGATCGATGAAATTCACAGCGGATTCATAGCTAGGCAATCAGAATCGCCAATACCTGGTAGTTCGTCGGAGAACAGGTCGACAACGCCAATGGCGGTTGAAATACCCGCTGCAGATCTAGCAGTTCTTACGGATCGAGAACGTGAATTCACTCAGAATAGATCCGACCGTCTTCAGTCACTGGAACACCAAAGCCAATCCCTACTGCAACAGATGAATCGAACGTTGAAGAAGGGTTCCAGACTTACGACGCAACTTGATATGCTGCACTCTCGTCATAGCAGTAGCGAGCAGAGAAGTCATCCAAACGATTCTAATTCAAGCGCCGAAGTTGCCGAAGGTAACCAACGTGAACCGTCTTCTTGCAGTCCTAGTCAGAACATTGAACAGAACCTGCTACCAGAACCGGAACCGATCGACACGGTCCTACTGGAAAACTCAATCGTCATACCTCCGAATGGTCCGATCGAGCTGATTCTAGTCTCGGACGAAGAAATTCTGGAAGAAGTTGACGAATTGTTGCCCACACCTAGCAATGCTACCTCAACGCAGCAAGGGCAGGATGAAGACAACGAACGAAACGGCCAACCGTAACTTCGAAGTCCTGATTATTCTTATGATTAATAATGTTACTTATTAAAAGCACCCTATCGAAAAAAAAAAAGACAATTCCACCAGAATGTCGTCAGTTTTAGATAGACCGTAATAGTTATTCTCACTTTGTACCAGTGTCGAAACTGCTTCTGTGTTAAAACTGTATTTCTCATGTGTACTAGAAAGAGTAAAATAAATGATTAAAGCAAACATCCTATTTGGATTATTTTATGCTTGAAAGAAAATGGTAAGATCAGTGGGAGATCGAAGTAGGTCGCGCTGGAAAGTTGACGCATTTTATTCTGCTGCTGATTTTCATTTGGCGATTTTAACCATGTTTAGTGACACTTTTGATTGTTTAAAATTTGTCATGGACGGGAACAAAACAGATCAGACCATGGCGGATGAGTTAAAAAAAAATGATAAAAGGAAGATCCAGTAACAGTCTTGTAAGCGGTCACGGTAGTCGACACATTTTCTGTGATAATTGACTGCCTTTGCCTCCGACACTTGCAAAGCAAGCTATGATAGTACAGTACCAAACTAAAATGTCGTATGACAGGCTCTGTCATACGACACTGTCGCCGATGACCGTCACGAATGTATGTAATAAGAGCTGCTGATGGTGTGCTTGTGTGAATTCTGAAAATAGCAAGCAATGATGTCCTAGTAATAATATTTCTGATCAGAAATGGGTTGATTTACACCAAATTGAGGAATTACAACGAAATCACACATGTCATATGATAGCTATTTTGATAATTTTCTTTTAGCTCGAATGTTATTCTACCGCTCGTGTTGTGTAAGAGAGACGACGGTAGAGCATGAGTGTTCGAATACAAACAGACTGTCGCGTACGACAACGAGGCGAGTATAGTAAAAAACGTCAACTGTTTCAACCCCTGTCCAGGAATATTTTTTGTTGGTGTTAACTGATGGGCAACGAAAAACCCAAGGAGATCGCGATGGTGTGAATCCAGCAGGTCAACGTCCGGTGGCTTATAGTGGTAGTGTGAGTCAAGACGGTATTACCAACAATCAATACGAAACTAACGATTTTAAATCGGCTCACCACTTTAGTAGTCTATTGGTCCCAAGCAAACGATTAACGTACCCTATTCTAGTTGAAATTCTATTACTACACTATGTTTGTTTTGATTCGCTATGAAAGTTTGACAGATAACATCAGGGGTGTGTGGATTCATGCAGAACATGCAGGGGTGAGTGAAATAGCTTGGAACTGCTTAGGACCGTTGTTCTGGTACTGAGTGAGCCAAAAATAATAATGATTTTCTTCGGGACCCAGTGGTCTTAGAGTTACCTCTATGGTATTACCAAGCCGGAGGCGGCGAGTTCGATTCCCAGTCCGGTCGAGGGAATCTTCCGGGTTGAAAATTTTCTCGACTTCCCTGGGCATAGAGTATAATTGTGCTTGCCACACAATATACAAATTCATGCATTGGTATTGGCATCGAAAGCTCTCAATTAATAACTATGGAAGTGCATTTAGAAAACTAAGTTGAGAGTACGCAATAAGCTAATATGCGCTAAGCAATAAGCTTGGAATGCGAACAAGAAGAAAAAGAAGTGAGTCAAGATCAAAGAAGCTTTTGTAAACTGTATTCGGATGCTTCAAGGATTATTCGGGTGAGATCCTTTTTTTTTATTTATCTAGTTCGTAACATTATGTTTCATATAAATTTCACTACTACAGTACTAATGATTTGCGACTTTTTTCAAAAGCGCTGGCCTAAACATGCTCGTACTAAGGCTAAGGTTTTCAAGAGTCGCGCCAACCGGTGGAAACTAACGATTTAAAATTGGCTCACTACTTGACTAGCCTATAGGTCCCAAGCAAATCGATTAACGTACCCCATTCTAGTCGAAATTCTACTACTACAAAATGTTTGTTTTGATTCGCTATGAAAGTTTGACAGATAAAATAAGGGGTTCGTGGATTTTTCTATGTTTCGGGGGGTGCATCGATTAGCTTGGAACCGAAGAGAGTAGCAGAGCTGAGCACAAAAGGTGAACACGTTTCTTCGGGACCTTCTGGTCTTAGAGTTACCTCTATGGTTCTTCTATCTTACTTTCTTACATATGCATTCACCACAGACAAACAGACATAACACATTGAATATTTATCATTGTAAAACATCGTCTCTAAAACATTACCGCCACCTGTTGAATACATTGTGGTGGGCACTAAGCTGAACAGATGGCGGTAGTGTGTAAACGTCAAACGCAAGGGAATTGACTATGCGCGCCACAGGTTTCGGTACTACCAACTACGATACTTTTAAATTGTTCGTTAAATGCTTGTTCGATGAACAACTTACGAGTATTATGTCTGTTTGTCTGTGCATTCACTATTGGTTCACGCTTATTGAAAAACAGAGGTGAGCACTGTGGAAAACACTAAACGACTCAGGATTTTTAATGAATTTGCTAAACCCAAACTGTTCAAACGGTTGAGAATTAGTTTCTCGAGTCAAGCAGATGCGACGAAGCAATGTGGTTGCCAATCGCATTTGCTTTCTCCTGTGGGGTGATTTTGAGCCGTTCGTCATCATTTTCGACTCTAAGAGGTGGAACGGGTTTGGGATGAGGGTCGGTTCATCCGGAAATTGAACTGTATACAGCCCATGCTGCGAGTCGTCGAATAGTAGGCTACCGTTCTGGTTCCGTTGGCGCTCTGCTTCGTGGCGGGCATTTAAATCGCCCCCAATGACGAATCGTTAGCTCGTGCGAGTGATGGTGGTCAGGTCATTTTTTAATTGGATACCTAATCAATTACTGGCAACACACTAACGAGGGCAGTATACGACGACGGTTGGCGATTCCACCTCCACACTAAGGGCCTCGGTGATAGAAGTACGGATGTGGGGCAGGGTGTGATACTTTATCCCCTTCTTGATGATGACCGCAACCGATCAAGTCGGATAATGTTGTGATCAGGCAACCAAAAGCTGTCGCCGGATTTAAGATGGGTCTCTGTTAGGAGGCCCACGTCGATACTATGCTTGCGGAGGAAGTTAGCAAGCTCGAACTTTTTGTCTCGTACAGAGAAAGCGTTCCAAGGGGGGAGAGGTAGCTCATCGATTCTTCCGGTTCGCCTCCTAGCATCGTGCTATAAGGTACCAGGCGATAACCAGGGTAGTTGATCGATAGCTCGATGACGTCATTTCGTTGGCGTCTGCAATGGGAAATTCTCATAGCATGCGTTGACGATGGGACGTTGTCGAGTTGTTGAATAGCAACTATCGTGGTAACTCACCGATTACCTGTCGATCTGCCAAATTTGGAAAGACGTCTGCATTGAATTGTCTCATATAATAATATTCCGCCCACTATATCACAAGAAATTGCGAGTAGCTGAATGGAATGGAGATAAGTTAAGCATTGGGTACAGGACCAAGTCTCCCCTGGATGGTGCCAAAAGATGAGCGCAATAGAATCATCAAGTTGCCATAAGGCACGGAATGAGACTATTGCATGGCTGGGTAGTCAAAGTCTTCCATTCGTTAGTCATTTCAGGTGGATTAGAACAAATTTAGGTTTAGGGTGGGCGTTGGCCAGATTTGGATTTTTCAGATGTAATCCTGGATAGGACCCTGTCATTGAACGCCGCGTGAAAGTGGAACTTAATGAAGGTCTACACACTTAGAAAAAATTACCGACTAATTCATTTACCGAATTCTCAACAGCTGAACGGTCGGTAATGTTTTCAGTAATCGAGAACATTACCGAAAAATCTGTAAACTGAATCAGCAAAATTAGCTGTCAAATTTACCGAACGATCGGTAACGTTTACCGAAAAAATAAGCATGATTTGTAATCGACTTTACCGGAGAACTGTAATTTTGGAGTCGATATGTAAAATGAAATTTACCGAAAGATCTGTAGTTTTTTAAAAGGTTACCGACTCAACTGTAATTCGCTTAAATATTGTTTCAAGGTATTTTCTTGGTTTTATCAATTGAATTAAATAATTTTTCCTTATCCTTTATTTTATATTATTCTTACGGATATGCTTTTCGTAAATCTAAAAACCTTACTTACTCGTAGCGCTGGCGGTCACTGCAATCCATGCAAATATTTGGCTCTAGTTGTGGTCAATGTATTAAAGTTGAAAATTGTTGCCGGTATAAAATTTCTCTTCTTATATGATATTGATATGTCGGTGCAGTCCGGTAACATAGCCTGGTACTTGCGACCGACAGAAAAAACAAGCAACAACATCGGCCATCTGTAACAATGGGTGTTTATTTAGATAACGAAATACCATTACTTACGGAAAATATCTACGATTTGCTCATCCTTATGCGTTGCAGCTGGTCCATAAAAGCCTCCATCATTTCACTTTTTGTTTTTCATAACAGTTTCCACTTACACACTTTTTTTTAAAGGTCGAAAACACATTACGACGGATTTGACGTTTCTCGCTGTGAAAGCTACCGAACTCGGTAATGGAACACTTTGTTTACCGAAACTTCAGTAAAATATTTCACCGAAGTCAGTGATTAAGCTGATTTACAGATCTGCCGGTATTTTTTTTTTACCGTTTTCGTTGAATTGAAATTCGGTAATTTTATTTACAGTTTTCAGCAATATAGCGAGAAAATACCGAAACATCTGTAATTTTGAGGATTACCGATATAAGACGGTAATTTTTTTTACCGAACTCAGGGTCTCTGTTTAAGTGTGTATTATGTGATATGAGGGGCTCGGTGGCCTTAGAGCAACCGTTTTTGCTTACTGAGCAGAACATCATGAGTCTAATCTCAGGCCCATCCACATTCAAGATTCGTCAATCGTTTTATTTGTTAATATGACTACATGGTAATAACAGCAACTCGGTGATTAAAAAGGTGCTCGTCTGCCTAGTGGCAAACGTTTTTGCTTACTGAGCAGAAGACCGTGGGTTTAGTCACAAGCTCCTTCGCGTTATATGATCGTTAGGACAACAATTCAGCTTATCGAACGAACCCTGCTGCAAACCCAACCCTCTTATCCAACATCCCAGTGATTCTTCGTGGAAGTGCAGAGGTGTTCTCGGCTTCCATCAAAGCGAGTGTCATGTCAACACAATCCTTCCCATTCCTTTCTTGACCTGTGTTCGGGCGCGGCCGGCGCTGGTATTGCCTAATTTAAGATCACCAGTTTTTACACATTGAGGATGATTGCTAGTCCCAAGCATCGTCTATTGGTTCTCTG